CCAGAAACAACTTTCAGACCTAAATACATTCAAATCAAACAATACCTCAGATACGTCAACAAGAGGATCCTCAATAGGCACGGTTTGAGATGGGGAGCCTTTCTTCAGGCTCAAATATCCAAAAATTTGACCAATGTTAATACAGTGTTAGGCCAATGTCAAGTCGCAACAAAAATATATTGTAAGTACAAAATTGCTATTGTTAAACTTTCAATATACAAGAGAATCTTGACGCCATTTCCAACAATTGCCCTGAGTATTTGTGTTTGCCTATTTTACTGGGAATTGACAAGGTTCACTGACAATTTTGTTTCAAGTAAAGCTTTGATGGTCTTTCTACTACTGTGATATTTAACGTCCGCAGTGGGAGGAATGACCAGTAGGATCCTACAGGTGTCTGGGGAGGGAATAATAAGGATGTCGTGTAACGTGTGTCTGTGGCCTTTTGCACCTTGAATTAATTTGCCTACTTGAAAACCCATCTATTAACATTAAGTTGTCAGGATGGCCAAGTGCTCTAAGGCGCTGTGTTCAGGTCACAGTCTGGTTCTGCAGGTGTGGGTTCAAATCCCACTTCTGCAATCATTTTTTCATTTTTTTCCTTTTTTGTCCGCACTGCGGACGCTCTACTACTTGTTAAATTGGTAACCGTCATCAGCATCTTCAGGCGCTGTTCATCTGCAGTTGGAGAAATGCTTGTGCCATGGCTTAGTTGATTAGGGCAGGAACTTGTTCTCTGTCAGTCTTGATTTCAAATCCCTATGGATGGTGATTTGATTTCTTTTTATGAACTCCAGGTATTAGTTGTATGTAAGGATGGTCTTCCTATGACCTCTTTCCATTTGTGAGGAAACACAGGGAGGAAAACTTTTTAATTTTTCAAGGTGAAGGTATGTTGTAATGTTGATCAAACTACTCAGTGTGAGAAAGTTTTGATTGTGACTCCATGGTATAATGGAATTTTGATTGAAATGCATCAGATATAGGAATTTATGCATGGTCAAAGGATGGAGTGAAGTTTATTTGAACATTTTCTTTTGAGTTTTCCAATAGTTTATAAGTTGTGCTGAAGGCAATGCACCTATTTTCTTCCTGAGTTTTGAAAAAATCTCTCTATGCATCAATTGTACCACTCATGACTGGAAATGTATCTGCAAAACATGCCTTTTCCTATTTTGTTCTGCATGGGAGTATTTTCTACCCTGTTGTAAACATTTCAGTATTCCACCATAAGCCCAGGGACACCCAGTGGCATTTCAGCTGAATTTTGCATGAAGCAGAATATATTTCTTTGTAACTTGGAAAGCCATTCAAATGACCAGCAAATAAATGAAAACTTCTCAAGAAGAACTCCGCTCCCAGAAATCTGACTTGTGGCTTGGGTGTTCACATATAATAACATATGATGATGGCCATGTTTCAATTTTTCTCCCCTCTTTTCTGTTAATAACCAGTGGGAAGACTTATTTGGGAGAGCCCCTGGTCGGGATGACTCAAGGGGGGGGGGGGGGGGGGGGGGGGGGGGGGGGGGGGGGTACAATACCCGGCCGAGAGTCGAGCCATTGCTTGCAGTACAGTATTCCGGCGGCGGGGGGGGGGGAGAGATTCAACTTCGGGCAGAATCGCCTCATCCGATACGACACGTCTCGTGCAGGCTGAAGAAGAGGAACGGAAACCGGAAAAGAAAGAAAAATCCACCCCAGACTGCCAGCCCTGGGATTCCGACCAGAGATAAAATGAGAGGGAGAGTGTGAGGGAGGACTGGAGTGCTTTTCCCTGTCCCCGTCGTCGCGAGCTGCTGGCTCGTCAGTTCGAGGGACCATTTCGTCCCAGGCCACGAGCCAAGGGCTTTGGCACGCAGCCAAATGAGTCCGGGTCTCGTCTGGCGACCAGCGAGAGAGTGAGCGAGTTAGCTGGCTGCTCCACGTCGTTGATCGACGCCTGCGCCAAATCTTCCAAGGAGGAGCAGGTGGAGGAGAGATGGATGGGAGTCCTGCCGTGTCCCCCCTCTTCCTCCCTCCCTCACATGGCCGCCGCCGCCGGAATACTGTACTGCAAGCAATGGCTCGACTCTCGGCCGGGTATTGTATTTGCTCCGGAAAACTGATGCTCTTAAGACCATGTGATCGAGATGTGTATGGACTGCAATGATCTCTCATTATTGGTGTGCTTCATGCTCGAGATGATGCAAAATCTCAACTGAGCACATGAACGCAACAGGAAACCTATTCTAATCTGGGAACATTCCTCACTCACGCCATTCCACGCTGCTGTCTCTTGTCTAGCTGTTGGCTCAGAAAAACAGGTTCCGTAAGCATACACTGAAGTGTAAGAAACACTTCTTGGCACCCAGGAGCATCGGGAAAAAATCTGGAAATCTGGGCGCGTTTGATGTTTGCGGATGAAGTGCGGGATTGATCTTCAGCAGTTATTCCAAATGAAATGAAATGCGACATCTATCTACGTGCTGTCGAACTAAATTACTGATCCGCGGTCGTAAATCCGTTCACAGGCGTTGGATAAGATTCCTTCATGTGATTCCTCCAACAAATACTTGAAACTCAGTGCATGTATATGGCTTAGCTCCTAGTGCCAAAAACGAGTAGAAGATCGAATATTTTCTGTCTTTACCAGCTGGATTTGCTGGGATACAGTGGGGGTCCCGACGTATCCGCGCGATTCGACTTCGGGACACCTGAAAATACTGTAATGATAAAAATGCAACGTTAATGGAAAATGACAGATTGTCTTCGTTTTTTCTTCTGCACAGTTATTGTTGGCATCTTGGAGTTTGAATTTTTCTAAATTTTTTAGAACATTTCCAATATGGCTGCTGAAAATTGAAAGTGGAAATGCGCATGCTTTGACATGCGAACGTTCTGATCGAGACAATTATGTTCCCATCATTCAGGCCATCTTTTTCGCAGTTTTTTATAAATTTTTTGGACAGTTTTTTTGGGACTCCTTACACAAGAGAGTTTCGGATTTGTGACTCAGGAGCGCTTGTACGAAAACGACCTGAGAAGCATGGCTAAATGGCCTGCAAGTGTAAATAGGAGTTCGGATTTGTGACTCAGGAGCGCTTGTACGAAAACGACCTGAGAAGCATGGCTAAATGACCTACAAGTGTATATAGGAGTTGAGTCAGTGCAATTATTCCTTCGCGATTCCTTTACAGTCCCGGCAAGGGCTGATCGGGAAGTACTGTATTGTTCAAATTTCAAAATTCGATTGATGAAAAGACACGATTTTAAGTTCGGGAAGTATCATCCAACTTATCAGCAAATACACGCAATCCAAGACTTCCTCAGTAATATGAATCTTCCTGCTATGGGGTCCTATCCGAACTATCGGCAATCATGAAATATGCAGTGATTATTTCTGATTCGACGTCGGGAACTTTTGAAAAACCCGTCGCACCCGGGTAACCGTATATCAGCGAGCCGAGTTACGTTTTTTTTTTTTTTTTTATCCATCTGCTGTACTGTATTATCAATGTTATATTGTCCCAGCAGCTGCTGAACGGTTTTAGCTATGATGAAGCTGACATAAGGAATGAGCTTCACTTCTTTGACGCTTCTGTGTTAAATCAATGCCCATGCAGCTGGTCAACGATTTCCGTCGCCCGCGTTTGAATCGATAGACCTGTGCGTAAAGTTGCCTGTGCTTTTTTCATCAGAATTGAGTGGGTTTTTAGTCACGCATGGCTTCGAATAAATCACTTGCGTATATTTCCCTTCGCAACTCGACAATGCTGTGCCTGATGGATGAACATATATGCGGCCTATGCTCTTTTTCTGCAACCTTTTCGACAAGTCCAGCATCGTTGGAAAAAAATTGAAGGGATGCTGGTGGAAGGGAAAGTTGAACTTTCTTGATGCTCTTCAACCCAGCGGGAGTCGAAAAACACTCATGAGGATTTTGTGATTTCTTTTTTTTTCTGCGTGTTCGTGAATCTAATTCGACCAAGAAATTACCTTGAACACGAAATACGGTGAAATCTCATCTCAGTACAACGAATAGCGTTACAACACTTTCATTTTCAGTGTCCCAAACTTTCTCTTGAGTTCCAACAAAAAACTCATTGAGTAAATTTTAAAACAATCTAATATTATAACAAACCTCCCAATTCCAGTGCAAATTTTTTCAAGAATGTTATATGATTTCTTCACAGGGAAATTCCCTGACCTAGGAAAGAACAGTAAGATTTCCAATTCCAAAGTGTTATTAACTGGTTTCAAACATGCTTCTGAGTAGTTCAATACATCATCCCACCAAAATGAAGATATTGCTGCTGCTGATTGAATACTCTATGTGACTGCAACTAATTTTCATCTCAGAAGATCACTCAGTTTTTCAAACACCAACAAAAAATCTGAGAACGCCAGCAGAAAAGCTAGATCCAATTGATTAAAGGCAGGTCTTGTGAGTGGAAGTGTCTTCCAGTCATCAATTTTGACGAACTTCTTGTAGAAAAATACTCCGTACTGTGTATATATTTGGGAACTTGAGGAAAAAGTTTGTTGCCGCGAGATTTCACTGTGCTTCTCGAGTTTTTCTTGATCATTCTTCCAATGTGCTACAATATTAGGCGCTCATTGTCGGCTGTGGGATTTGAACCCTCCTCCTCCATTTATGAATATGCGACTAAGCCACGATGAGCGTTTGTTTCTTCGTGACAAGTATTCCATTGTAGAATCCTGCTACAGATTCATCAATCAGTGTAATAATAAACTTTCCCCGATGATTTCCCCAAAAGTTGCTTGTTGACGAGATTTCACTACACTGTACTGTACTGTACTATAGACCTTTTATATTCCTAGAATTTAATTTCCTCCATCAAAGTTGTTCTCGTTGGTTCGCTTCTCTTATCATCCGTTCGCTACACACTACAAGAATATTGTACTTTCGCTCTTGCCCGATTCCGCGAAAAAAAGCAGATTTGTCTGTACCTCATCCAGTACTCATTCCAATGTTTGTTCTTCTCTTTCTCATCCCTCATGCGCCCATCGTCGACATGCACAGGCTGCAAGATCAAGGCGTTGCGAGCCAAGACCAACACGTACATCAAGACGCCGGTGCGCGGGGAGGAGCCCGTGTTTGTCGTGACGGGCCGCAAGGAAGACGTGGCGGCGGCCAAGAAGGAGATCCTCAGCGCCGCCGAGCACTTTTCGCAGATACGAGCGCAGCGGAAGGGCGGCGGGTCGCCCACGACCGGCGTGGGCCTCCCACCTGGCCCGCCTCACATGCCGGGCCAAATCACGCGGCCCGTGCGCGTGCCCTACAAGGTCGTCGGCCTCGTCGTCGGCCCCAAGGGCGCCACCATCAAGCGCATCCAGAACAACACCAAGACCTACATCGTGACGCCGTCGCGGGACCGAGAGCCCGTGTTCGAAGTGACGGGCCTGCCCGAGGACGTGGAGCTGGCCCGGAAGGAGATCGAGAACCACATCACGTTCCGGACCGGCGGCATGCCGGACAACGACTTCTCCCCGCTGGCGTCCCCGCTGACGCCCTCGTCGTCGTCGTCGTCGACGTCCTCGTCGTCCTCGGGCCACCACCAGCACATGAAGTTGTCGTCCACGCTGCTCATGAGCTACGGCAACAGTCTGGACTCGTCCTTTGCGCCCACTGACCCCAACTCCTCGTGCTCCTCGTCCTCGTCGTCCGGGGGTTCTTCTTCCTTCCTCGACGGCGGCAGTGGCTACTTCAACAACCACCACCACCAACACCACCACCACAACAACCACAACCAGCATCAAAGCCACCTCCCGAACCAACTGCACCAGCAGCTTCAAAACGGCGGCGGGTGCAGTAACTCGTCGTCGTCGTCCTCGTCGTCGTATCTCTTCTCGGACGACACGAATGGCATCTGGTCGTCGGACGTGGACTCGGGACACGGGAGCAGCATCGCAGGCAATGCCGCCAAGAACACCGGCTGGGGATTGTACCACTCGAACCAGTCACGTGCTGGACTCGGCGGCGGCTTTGGCGGCGGCGGCAGAGGAGGAGGAGGAGGGAATGGATTGCGTGCCGTCATCGCAGGAGGACCAGCTCGTGGCGCCTCTCCGCCGGGCAGTGCGGGTGGGGATTCTATCTTGCATCCGGCTGCCCGGCGGTTCCATTCCGAACCCCTGGGCTCGACTGGAAGTGGTGTTGGCGGTGGTCTGTTGGAGTTGTCGTCGTGTTCGTCGTCGGGCGCCACGGACAGCAGTGGCGGCTCGCCGTCGCCGCCCTTGTCGGCTGGCACCCTCAGCACGAAGCGGTCCATTTGCGTCGTCTGCTTCGACTCTCCGGTTCTCGCCGCCCTCGTGCCGTGTGGCCACAACTTGTTCTGCATGGAGTGTGCGCAGCGCATCAGTGGCGAGGGCAAGCAGTGTCCCGTGTGCGAGCAGAATGCCCACCAGGCCATCCGCATCATCTCGAGGACTTGATTGAACCCCCCGTGTGCTTATTGTACACCGTACTGTATCTTCTTTCGTCTTCTTTTCTCTCTCTCTCTCTCATTCAGTGCGTGTGTGTGTGTGTGTGTGTGTGTGTGTTTCTGTTTCTGTTTCTGTTTCTGTCAGGAGTCAGTCATGCAGAGCAGAGTCTTCATTTTATTGATGCTTTTACCTCATGTTGGATAAGGATAACCCCGTTTTCGAATTCAATATACAGCAGTCAAATCTCGTTACAACACATTTCAAGTTGGATATCACGGGACCAGCAAAAAAAATTCAACTTAGGCAGATTTACAGTTACAGCATAGAGGTTTGAGTTATGGAACAAAGCATTCTTGTTGCGTGAAACGTAGGAGAATTAACACAGACTTGTAAATGATGATATTCTGTTGGGCCTTGAATTGCTTCTAAAATGTACTTAAAAGACAATGCAGAACTTAAAGGCAGGGGTTCATTTGCCAGATCAAGTTTTTTCACATCCTTTCAAAACAATTCAATTTCTTATTGCTTCTGGCTTTCTTGTATTGAGAAAATGATAGCTTAAAGGCATGAGAGGATTAAACTTACTGAGGTTTCAGAGGAAAAGCCTTCAAGTTGGGAGGTTTTTAATGCAATGTTTCTAAGAGAATTTAGATGGGGACTTCAAAAAAATTTGGCTTAGGGACATATTTGACAGGGAGGTTTATACTTACCAAAGTTCAACTGTGTGAGAAACTTTTCCTCAATAAATCTGATGACAGATAGCCAACAGAGTACATTACATGGTAAATAATCTTGCTTCAACAAACTTCCCAATTTCAGTACAGTATAACAACTTATTTTGAGGGATGTTCAATGGATTCCCCCTTGTAAATAAATTTCTGATCAAAAATGCAACTTGACTAGTTGTTTTTGTAGCATGAATGGGAATTGTAATCAATGAAAAGCATGGTTCCAAGTGGTTACACATCCTTCAAAAATGAAGAGATTTTTGCAACTGATGGACCATGTGATTGAAGATACATTTTTTCCAGAATAGCACTGTTTTGCAAACAGTAACCAAAAATCCGAGAATGCCAGGAAATCCAGAAGTAATTGATTAAATAGGCTGGGCTGATATGAAATGTTATCCAGTTGTTAATCTTGAAAATCTTATCAAAACAAGTTAATCAGCGCAAACAACTTTTTTGAAGTCCCCAAAAATTTGATGTAACAAGATTTTACTGTACTGTATCTCATTATTTGTGTTCGTTCTTTTCTTCCTATTTTTCCCTCCACCTTGGGTTGTTCTGTTCAATACTTGAACGTGTGTTTTTGTGTGTTATGCTATATGCTGTTCCTTCCACCTTCCCCTTCCCCCGCTGGAATTATCAAGAGTGGAGAGAACGGAGTGCGCCCAATAAGTGTCGCGCCGCCGTCGTCATCGTCGTCGTCGTCGTCGTTGTCATATTGGGTTCGAGGGCATTTCGATTTGTATCTTTTTATGTTATTTTGATAACCAGCCACCCCGCCTACCTCCTGGGCATTCTCTACGGTCGTCGATTCTCATGATTCGTTCAACAGCAGCGAATGCAAATTTATGTAGTCAGCGAGTCGTGCGTGGCCGCAACAAGTGTTCAGATCCACCCGCGCCGCCGTTGGGTATATGTGCGCAAATGGATATATCCCCGAAACGTACGCATAGAAGAAACCGAAGAAGAGTAAGAGAGGGAGAGAGAGAGAGAATTGCAGTATAGTGGGTGCTCTGTCGAGTATAAGTGAAGCGGGGAGTTTGAGGTGGAGATTGAAAGGAAAGGCAACCTGCTACGTAGGCGGAATCGGTCGTGGCGGCGGTGGTGAAGAATCAAGAAAGAAGAAGAAGGGGAGTTGGTCATATCGTGATCTTCCGGGGACGGTTAGGTTCCGTATCACAAGCTTCGTTCTTCACAAAACAGTATTTATACGACGAGGAGCGACTTGCTTCCGGTTTCGCATTGACTTTGACTTTACGGTAGGCTTCTTCTTCTCTTTTACATCAAGTGCGTGCGTGAAACGAGCAGCTTCCCTCTTTCGAGATTTGCGAGTGTATATGATTTGAACTGAAGTGGGATTGTGATCTTCAGTGTGGGGTAGTGTTGGTCCTGGTTTGAACTCAGTGATGACCTCTATATTCTGGGCAGGGATTGTGGAAGTATCCGTGGAAGCCAAGAACTGGGGGAGCCCTTAACCAGGATGGGGAGCAAAGCATGTAGCCTCTTCCCCACTCCTCCTCCTCGGAGATTTGGTTTCACCGTGTTTTTTTTTATCATTTTATTTTTAGGATTCGTGGCCTATAGGGACGGAGTTCTCTTAGCCCGGCGTGAAGGGGCGCTTGAATTTTGGGACCGGCGGTCGGTTGCCCACGTGGCGCCACGAATCACGACGACGGTCTTTCACCAGCTGCGAGATTTTACTATTTATTTTTTATTTCTTTGCGTTTTGTTGCATTGTCTGGAGTTCTATTGCGTTGTGATAGGGTGCTGATCGGATATCAAAAAGCGGCGGGGATAAGTTTGTGCTCAAAATGACGCCGAAACAGTCGAGAAATGTTCTTCTGCGTGTTGTGCTTATTGGAAAGAACCAGCGAGAGGAGACTCGATCTCAGTTATCAGGGTCAAGTTCCGAGGGGTTATATGCTTGGATCCAGCGAAACTGCTTTGTGTTTACCTTCTGGTTTGGCGCGTTATTCCGCCAATTTTATTTTTTACTTTTTTTGGATGACAAGGTATCTGACTGACTTACCTTCATGAAGAGTTGAGGACGTCTGAGACAGAGGCTCGTATGTTAGGCAATGCTTTTGCGACTTTTCTTCATATATTGGCGCCTCTATGCGTCGTGAAAGGAGAGCTTCGTGAGAAATATAGAGAAAACAGCGGGATTCTGCCCATAGGAAACAGTTTTGCTGGTCAGTACACTGGGAAGTGAGAAGAGGCGCGTGATGAACATATCAGGGCAAAGTGTGCATTTCTTTGGCTCCGAATATCTGTCTGCTCTAGCTCTGATGACTCTGTTGCGGTCCTCTTGCTTGTCAGAATCTACATACAATAGTATAGAAGTCTTCCGTACCCTTCTCTCTGTCTGTGGGCATGGGTTTTGTGCCGATTCAGCACCACCACCGCCACTGCTGCCGCACTTTGCCGTCGTGTTTTCGTAGTGTGATACCTGTTAGTTGAGCGTGTGGAACCCTAGCTTCCCTGGACCGCCGTACTTAAGCTGTACGAGACTGCAGAGCAATGAGAGGCACATTTTTTCACTTGTATGAAGCCGCATACAGTTTTCCTTTTGTGCTATTTACAAAATATATATTTATGGTATGCAGGAGTTTGGATAATTTTTGTCTTGGTGAAAGAATATATAGACATGCATGGAGAGAGAAGAGAAATATTCGCCGGGATGTGCAGTGGGTGCGCAAGGACGATGAGAAGAAAAGCAAAGAGAATTGGATGTGGCGCGATTTCTGCGTCGACATTATTTTTGGGTGTTGCTGTTGGGTTATACTGAGTTCAACTGGGTTGTTGCCATTTGCTGTATTTTTGGATGAGTTTAGAGACCGGTCTCGGGATGGGGAAGAAGTCGAGAGTTTTCTTTATTTTTGTATGTTACTACGCGGGCCCTGATTTTTGTGCGTCACCTGTGTTCCGTAGGTTCGTGCATGCACTCAGTTGTGCGATGGTTGTTGCGTTCATCTCTCCAGAGGCCCGCAACTATCCCGTCTGTTGTTTTGAAACCCAGCCCCCGTTTCATCTCATCGTTCATTCTTTTTTATTTATTTTCCGCTGTTTTGCAAACGGCGAGAAGTAGTCAATCAGTGGATACTCTTGATCGATGACCGCGAATGCTTGTGTGTACGAGTGTCCCGAACGTTGTCGGGGAATGCTGGAGCGTCCAGTCGACTCAACCGGCATGTTCCGGTGTGCAGAGCCCACTGTGTACTTGGCCGGAAGCAGCAAGTGCATCAGGGTCGTGATCGCCGCTATCCTCAAGTAGAAGTTTGTTTCCTTCTACATCCTGCTGTGATGTATGCACCTCTTCCTAGTCATGTGTGTGAGAGAGAGAGATTTCCCCCCCCCCCCCTTTCTCTCTTCCTTGTTTTTTTTTGTTTTTTTTTTTGTTTTTTTTTCGCCTGCTTGTCCTTCCTGGTGGATAATGATGTGTGGGGTCGTCGATGTGTCATATGAAGCAGCTAACTGACGCGATGCGAGGTGTCTAAAAGAAGGAATACTCGCACAAGGCGGGATGGAGTAGGGAGGAAAAAAAAGAGAGAGAAGTCGGACTACATAGCACAAAACCGTCTTCCTCAGTGCTGGTTGTTTGGTCGGGTCTCGGAGTCGGACGAGGCTTGACTGCCAGAATGAAGCAGGAAAATGAGAGTTGCTTTTATGACCGCTGGGGGCTGTAAGGAACGGAAAGGAAAGGAATGCAATGCAGACTTGAGTAACGTTGTTGGATATTTTTGTTTCCCTATTTTTGGCAGCTCGCGTTCGTTTTTTTGTCTATTGTCGTCTGTTCTCTCATAGCGAGTGGACGCGCGTCTATTGGATGATTTATTCTTATGCAGCTCAGCATGTGACTTTGCCTCAGGCGACTTGCGCACGAGTTGCATCACCTGTTAATGAGTGCTCTACTCGTCGCAGTGCACGTGTACGCGTACGTAATCGTGGTATCCAGCAGCAATACGAGTTTGGAAGGAACCTTTGATACCATGCAGCAGGCAGAGTCGATTCCCTGCTTTTCCGAATCTGCTATTTTCGAGATATATACGATTATATGAGAATATATATGAAGTATATTGTAACATCCCGCCGGTCATCCAAGTCTTCTAATGTGAAGGGATGCGGAGACTAGCACGTTCCGAAGATTTTTCTTTTCTTTCTCATTTATTCCACTTCTGAAACTTTTGCGGAGCTGCGCAGAGCGAAACAGAACAGAACAGGTTCCCAAAGACATGTTTTCGAGAGGAGAGAATAAGTAATTTACGGAAGCGTTTTTTGGAA